TCGTCTTCCGCATTGGTGAACGTAATGGCTCGAAACAAATGGTTTCCTCGATATTTCTGATCGGCCAGATACCTGTTCCTCAGCTGAAAAGTGAAATGGCTGTACTGATAACTACGAATGTGATGTTCAGTAATCTATTTTGTTAGTGTGTGCATAAAGGGACTAGAAAATGTCCCGTAGGCACCGTAACCGGACAACGCCCTGTCTCTCCCAATTTGATGACGAAGCTGAATACCTACCGCATCGCACGCAAGCAGCGGCGTATCAGTCAATCCAATGTTGAGTATCCATGACAGGTCAGTGTCCCAAAATTGAGTTTTGTCTTGGGTGTCAGAGGGGAAAATTACCCATCAAAAAGAGGGGAGAGAGTGGAAACTGCTGATTCGATTAGATCCAAAAGGAGTGATGACAAAAAGCATGCATTTTATTCTAGGGTGTAGAATGTTTGATGCTAAACCGGGCATCCACACAACTGCTCTTTCTATAGGTAAAAAATCTAGGTTTTCTTGGTTGGGAGTGGAAAATTGTTCTTAAAAATTGGTGGTGAGAGTGGAAAATGAATTTCACTTGGATGTCGTTTCCCACCCAAATCGACAAATTTTGGGACATTGTGACAGGTTGGATGATGATGTAAATAATAAACTAATTATTACAAATGCATTCAAATATATTCAAAAAGACACACAAAGTTTTCGGTTCATGGAACCTTAATCACTGTGAAAAAAATTTGCACAGTGATCAAAGTTCTATGAACCGAAAGCTTTGTGTGTCTTTTTGAATATATTTGAATGCATTTGTAATAATTTGTTTATTATTTACAACATCATCCAGTCAATCCAATGGATGCCGTGGTAACATGTATGAAGTCATTTACAAGCCCTGTATCCACTTACCTAGCCACAGGATCCTCGCATTAATGATAATCGATCAACAGTGCTTTATTCGATACGCCCACCGCACTCGTCAACGCCAGTTCCTCAGTCGCCAGTCCAGTCCACAGTCACTCAAAGTCACAGCCTTTCATCCAGTCAACCCTGAGACCAGGCATTTCCACTGCAACCAGCCAACACCTCAACACACACCTCCTCACAAGTTTCCTTCCCAGCCCCGCGGCCGGTCGCTCACAACTGCCTCAACAGTCAGCAAGTACTGGCAGACTGCCAAGTCGGGCGAGCATCTATTGCCACCCCGGGGCCATAGTGGATAGCCGAACAGGTGGTCCGTGGCAGATGCTGCTGGCTGGATGGTCAGCAGATTAGGCGTGGAGACCGTTAGAGGAGACTGGGAGGAGAATGAGAGACGGGAAAGGAGATGGGTTGAGATGGTGGGAGTTATACAGTCTCCAGTGGGAATTTCATCTAAAAATACTATTTATAAATATCACATCCAAATTGTGTGCATTTTATTTGTCGGTTGTGACATTCATGCGTAGGTTATTGCGAGATTTCCCGCAACGAGGAAGGTGTATTCCTATATGAATTTCTTTGAAAGGCTAACCAGTAATCTGTCGTACTAAGGACAAGTCTACCGATATATCACGGAAAATTTCAATTAAAGGGTTAGCCATCTTTTCCACAACAAGCTCTAGCTGGGTAAGCTCTTGAGCTCATTGCCAGCAATGAGCAGATAAAAGATAGGCTGATCTGAATCGGTAGAAATTGACCTTCCATGTGACCTCTCGTGACCTGGCCACGAGAGAAATGACGGAAGTGCCAGTACTTGCGTTGGCAATGTTGAATCATTAACCCTTGCGCTTCCTCCAGCGCGCAACAATGCTCCAAAACATAAAAATAATTAAACATGAGAAATTGTAAAATGTCTACGAGCAGCGAAGAGTCAGGCAGCCCCAGGGCCCGAGCTGCTTACCGACAGCAGCGAGCTCTATCGGCGATCTCCGCAAGCTTACAGCCATGCAGCTTGGTAGGTGGCGCTCCTGGATGCGCGAGTTGATATCCAGCCTTGGGATTGTCCTGTCCATTATTAACCGTTCATTTTTCTCTTTACTTGCCTTTCAAATTCATGCATTTAAGACTGAGCCTAATAGAACCTTTAGATCTGGCGCACGTTTATCACATGCATGTGTGGCCCATATGTCGTTAGCATGATAAGCTGCTAAGCACAGCACAAATGCAGTATGATCACTCGCAACACGCTGTAGGTACAAACGGGCGTACATGATCGCTCTGCATTTTGCAGTACCTACCCGGCCAATTGTAGAGCTGTATGCTGCACCGGTTGTGGAACGGGAAGGACAAATGACGATTTTCCTTCCTCCAGCTGACAATGAAGTTGCTGCGTTGGCGTTGTCTCATTCCTGAAATTCCTTCTACCTCAATATCATGTCTTTGCTATGGATAACGAAGCAGTACAGGGTGAGCCATAAAGATTTACCCATCGAAAATTTCACTTTGTTTCAAGGCGCGCTGACATAGCTATGTCATCTTTTACATTCATATAACAACTTAATCTCCTAACTAATAAATGTAGTCTGTTTTCTGTATGCTCGCATTCTTCTTATGTTACGCGCCCGAGACGCGAGAGCACTATGGCACGCGGCCGCCGCACCGTCGTTTCAATTATTTTCCTCGATCACCCACGCTATAACAATGCTGCGCCGTATGTCATTTGCGGTGTTTCAGGGACTAGGTAGAGCAGGGTTTTCAGGATATTTCAGTTTGCGAAGCCCGTGGGGCTGAAGTCGGGGATAAATTGTGCCCAGCATTCTTTAGACCAAGGAGTGTTCAGCAGCCAACACCCAGTGGTGATTCCCGAATTTCAGGAGCGGCGGATGTGCGTTAAGACGACCTCGCATTTCAGGAGCGTAGCAAAGATAGTGGACGAGCATATACAAAATGAGGTACACTGTCAGGATTGGAGACAAATTTGCGACATATATGCAAAAGATGGCATACCTACGCCAACCCGTTTGGAAATAAAGTGAAATTTTCGATGGGTAAATCTTTATGGCTCACCCTGTATATGCTGTGTGAAGCGGTGTGACGAGAATATGGACATACATACTCGGCATTCGGCTGGTTTCAAGGACAAATAACTAGTAGACTGATCGTACATTTCTCTTATAAGTTATACTAATTTATGCATGCACTGGATGAATCGCAATGCCCCAGTATTGCATACACTAAAATAATATCCCCCGCAAAAAAATATTATTCGCGACGAACAAGCTTGACAGCCAAATTGGCGTTAAGCAAAAAACCTGAAGTGTTTGTATTCGCGGAAATTACTAATAGTCATAGTAAATTTGTCTAATCAAAATATAAATTTTAACATTGGCGCAAGATCGTTTTCCCGGAAAAGTTATTCCCCGACCTGCGAGACATTCGCTCGGTCATATATAATTCCTGGCAACGAGTGTCGACACGGTTGGCTGCCCCGAAGAGCAGAAACAGATGGGCTTCGGTTGTCCCATGATGGGTCTCGTAACTCTCCGGAGTAACAGCACATAGCATCTCGGTCACTCCGCTGGGAATCAATTTCATTAGGCGATGTCACTGGAAACGAAAAGGTCGTAATCAACATGCCAACGACAACGGTTAGGACAACGATTACGGCACCTGTTACATTACCTGTTACACGGCATAACATAAGCGTCCAAAACTATCCAGCGACGCGTAACTTGAACTACAAACTCTACTACACCTCCATAATTCCGGCGCTCATTGACTTTGCAAAAGGTCACTGTGACACATGGTAACGTTTACATGCAAATAGCCCAGGGCCGGAAGGGCCCGTTTCACAAGCATGATAGGCTGACTTTCGAGCGGGTGGCCTTCTCTGGTGGAGGTCTGTCATCTGGCCTTGGACTATCCATGACCAAAAATGCAAAATCACTGAGGGGTGGGGGGTGGGTTGCTGTGGGCGACTCGGTAGGTAAGGTATGCTTAGTACCGAGTGGCACTGCACGAGCGGTGTATTGACACAGACAGAGGTGTTTGAACAGGATGCAGCAGCTCAAACACAGGGAGAGAGAGAGAGAGAGAGAGAGAGAGAGAGAGAGAGAGAGAGAGAGAGAGAGAGAGAGGGAGGGAGGGAGGGGAGAGAGAGAGACAGAGAGAGAGACAGAGACAGAGACAGAGACAGAGACAGAGACAGAGAGAGAGAGAGAGAGAGAGAGAGAGAGAGAGAGAGAGAGAGAGAGAGAGAGAGAGAGAGAGAGAGAGAGAGAGAGAGAGAGAGAGAGAGAGAGAGAAATTGGATTTTGGTTCAATGCTTTCGTGATAAAAGCACGCTCCAACAATCTAGTCTACAAAAAAAAACTAGACTGTGCGATCGTGACGCTCATCCGTAACGCACAGCCTGCAGTAGCGTGTCACATACACAGTTCTTACAATCGGTACAGGTGTTCCCTGAAAGCCCCGGAAGTGCTGGGTGTGACTGTATACATGACGGTGGTTGTAACGCTGTGATAGAACACACCTGCGCCGTCTTTTTTCCTCCGGATTTGCACTGCAGACCGCTCACAATACTTATACTAGGGGTGCCGGAATTGACTTGAGTGAAAGATTGAGGGAAAGATTGCGCTGAGACTGAGAGGCTATTGGTGAAGGTGAAACCAGCAATGCGCATCAGCCGCACGGCTTTAAAATGTAAAGGAAGGCGTAGTATATAAGCGCTAAGCGGTAGCTCTACGCAGTGAAACACTACGCCGAAATCCACTGAAAGTGAGAACAACGGTCAGCTGGGTAACTTTTAAATGAGTTGCTGGTAAGACCATTTGTTATATAATCTAGGTACACTGAAAACAGTTTAACCCAGGGCCGGCGAGTAAACCGGTGTTTCGCGGGTACCCCTATCCGCAACCATTTTTAACCACCCTCCCAGGAGTACAGTAAGGTCCCATTGCAGTGTAGCCGTATCTGCCTCAGCGGTGTTCTGGTCTGGGCCTCGCCTGCCGGGCCGCCCCGTACCGGTTCGTACCGGCTCGATGTGACCGGGTGCCGGGTCACTCCACCCTGGTGCGATGTGGGCTTCTGTCATTGGTCGGTGGCTGGGTGGCGTGATCAGGCCACACCACCCGAGTCATGTGTCAGTGTGTGATTGGTCGGCCGATATGTAGTGAGGCGATGTGTGTGCTGGATCGGAGAGAGAGGGCAGTCTGGTTTTGGTCAGTGATAGCGCAATACACCTCCACAGCTCAGCCGGCTTGTGAACACTACATGGCGCAGCCGACATCTACGGACCTGCTGCAAGTAAGCTGAGGTGTCGCCACCGGTGCCTATCCAGCTGGCCGGCGACGCATGCCGTACAGCTTACGCTCCAAGTGCAAGATGGACGGCTCTGACGACCAGGACAGCAGTTCGGCACCACCGTGGCTGGCTCAGCTCCAGCAGCAGCTACAACAGCAGCTTCAACAACAGCACGAACAACATCAGCAAGACATCGAGCTTCTCCGCAAGGAACTACAAGAACACCGTCTGACGGCAACAACGGCACCTGACAAGAAGCCAATAGCTGCAGCGGCAGATCCTGCGGCTCTCGCTGAACCGACAACGGACGGCGCTGTGGAATCGGCGAATCCTGTTACTTCACCACAGGCGGCTGGAGAGCTGGCAACGACACGACCGTCTACTGCAACCAGTGCTGTAGCATCTCTAGCTCCTGCTTCAGCTTCTGCGCCGCTTCATACAGACAGCGGGGCCAGGCGGCCACCGGTATCTCCTCCAGTGAAGCTGTCGTCGTCTGCCACTCTCCGTGAGTTTCGCCTCTGGAGGTCATCCTGGAATGACTACTACCGCTTGGGGAGCATCTTTACTCTTAGTCAAGAGGACCAGCTCGCCTACCTGCGAGCGTGCTTCACTGAAGACATGCGCGCCGCCAGTCTGCACGCCGTCGGGATCTGCCCGCACTCGGACAATGTGAGCTCATCGCTGGACAAGATCGAGCAGTATCTGCGGCTTCAGCACAACGTCGCCATCGACCGGGTAAAGTTTGAAGAACGACACCAAGAAGAGGGAGAGTCATTCGACTCGTTCCTGATCGCGATCAAGGAGCTGGCAGCCGACGCCGAGCTGTGCTCCTCCTGCATGGACGACCGCATCACAACGCGCATCATGTCCGGGATACGCGACAAGGATACACGTCGAAAGCTGCTGTCACTCCGGCCATTCCCGTCGCTGCTGTGCGCAATCGACATCTGTCGATCGGAGGAGGCCTCTCAAGCCAACAACCAGCTTCTGCAGGACATCACTCAAGGCCATCAGAGCGTCTTCCGGGTGTCATCACGCCAGAATCAGCGGAGCCCATCACGAGAACGACCATGTGAGGGCTGCGGCGGCACTGGCCATCCCAGGAGGTCATGTCCTGCTGCAAATCTCACCTGCTACTCCTGCGGCACCAAGGGCCATCTGGCGGCGGTATGCCGCAAACGGCAGCAGGCTCACCAGCCACCAGAGGCACAGCGATCTCGGAGCAGAAACCGGCACTCGAACCAAGTCTCCATTCCACAAGTCGTGGTCGGCAGTCTGCACAAGAGTCAGCAGGCACCGAAGATTGCTGTTCAGCTTCGGCGTGTTGACGGCACCCTCCTTGGTAATGTCGATGCCACGCCTGACTCAGGCGCAGAGATCTCTGTGATGAGTGCTGAGCTGGCGCGCCAGCTCGGTGTGCGGCAGGAAGATCTGTCGCCACCGCCGAGTATCCAGATCTCCGCTGCCAATCTGCAACCCATGCGCTGCACTGGCACCTTCGAGGTCTTCATCAGCCTTCAAGACAGACTGATCCGAGACACTGTGTACGTCTTCACGGAATCTCGCGGCATGCTGTTGGCCTGGTACACCGCCAAGTCTCTGGCCATCCTACCAGACCACTACCCCCAGCCTGGAAGTCAGCGACCTGCTATTGGCAGCATCGTCACGACCGATTCAGATGGAGAAGGGAGGACGTCGCCAACGGATCCGAAGTCTGCTGTTCGGCAGCATGGCAAGCTGCGACAACAGCTTGTCAAGGAATACCGTGATGTCTTCTTCACGGCGGACGGCAAGAACTCTCTCCAACCGATGTCCGGTGAATCAATGGTCATCCACGTCACTGAGGACGTCACGCCGTTTGCGGTCCGCACGGCTCGGCAGGTTCCCTTCGCCTGGAGGGACGAGGTCAAAACGCAGCTGGACCAGATGGTTCTGCAAGGCATCATCGCACCACTCGGCGCAGAACCTACAGATTGGTGTCATCCTCTCGTGCTGGTTGCCAAGGACACTGGTGTACGCATCTGCATAGACCTCACCAAGCTGAACAAGTTTGTCAAGCGGCCACTGCATCCCCTCATCACGCCTCGTGAAGCCATCTCACAGGTACCCACGGACGCGAGGTTCTTCTCAACACTGGACGCGAAGTCTGGATACTGGCAGCTGCCTCTGCATCCTGAGAGCCAACATCTGACGACCTTCATAACTCCCTGGGGCCGCTACAAGTTTCTCAGAGCTCCGATGGGCCTGATCTCGACTGGTGATGAGTATTGCCGACGGGGTGATATCGCTCTTCAGGGACTCGACAACTTCGTCAAAGTCGTCGACGACATCCTGGTGTATAGCAAAACCCTGGAAGAGCACGAGCGTCATCTCCGAGCTCTTCTCGACCGCTGTCGGGAGAACAGCATCACCCTCAATGAGAAGAAGTTCTTCTGCGCCGTGGAAGAGGTGTCTTTCTGCGGCTTCACGCTGTCACGTGCTGGGAAGCAAGTCCAGCCAGGCAAGGTCTCTGCCATCACCGAGTTCCCGCCGCCTACCAACATCACGGAGCTGCGATCCTTCATGGGCCTCGTCCAGCAGCTCGGCGACTTCTCCAAAGAGATCTCCTCGACAGCCGAGCCTCTGCGTGGTCTACTGAAGCCAAGCAACAGTTTCATCTGGACTCCAGACCATCAGGCTGCATTCGACGCGATGAAAGCGGCTCTGGCAGCGCCACCTGTGCTGGCGCACTTCGACCCATCTCTGCCTACGATGCTGCAGACAGATGCAGCAAGACGGAAAGGTCTCGGATACGCCCTGCTTCAGCGCCACGGTAACCACTGGCGTCTGGTGCAATGCGGATCTCGTTTCCTTTCGGACACGGAAACCCGATACGCCATGGTGGAGCTGGAGCTGCTGGCGATCGTCTGGGCGCTGAAGAAGTGTCGCATCTTCTTACGCGGCCTCCCACACTTCGAAGTCCTCGTGGATCATCGGCCACTCCTGCCGATACTGAACGATTTCACTCTCGACACCATTGAGAACTCCCGCCTACAGAGACTGAAGGAGAAGACGTCGCTCTTCAACTTCACCGCCAAGTGGATCCGTGGGAAGGAGCACGTCATCCCAGACGCTCTCTCTCGTGCTCCTGTCGATGAGCCCACCGCTGACGACGATCAACTGGTCCAGGAGGTGGAATGTCATGTCCGCCGGGTGTCAGTCAGCACCATTCAAGAGATCACTGTTCTGCAAGGTGAAACTCACCTGCCTGACCCGCGTCTGGAGAAGCTCACTGAAGTCGCCGGTTCTGACAGCGAGTACCAACTCCTTCTGCGCGCTGTCAAGGATGGCTTCCCTGTCTCCAAGGAGCAGCTTCCTCAGCCTCTCCGTCCTTTCTGGAGCGTCCGTCATGAGTTATCCACTCACAGTGGCCTTATCCTCAAGGGATGTCGCATCGTCATCCCTGCGGCTTCACGGAAGGCCACCCTGGAGGCTCTTCACGCTTCCCACCAAGGCGTCGATAGAACCAAACGCAGAGCTCGTCAAACCGTTTGGTGGCCAGGCATCAACAGCGACATCACCAACACGGTTGGAGCGTGCGACGCCTGCCAGGAGCGCCGACCGAGTCTACCACCGGAACCGATAGTGCTGGAACCACCACCATCAAGAATCTTCGAGGATCTGTCGTCCGACATCTTCACACTCTCTGGAAGAGACTTCCTGGTCTGTGTGGACAGACTCTCCAACTGGCCAGTGATCTTCCAGTTCCCACGAGGAGACACAACCAGTCGGCAGGTCATCCAAGCTCTGCGAGAGGTGTTCGTCACACTCGGCGTACCAGTACGGCTTCGCACAGACGGTGGCCCTCAATTCAAGAGCAGGGAAATCGCCGCCTTCCTCAAGCGGTGGGGCGTGGTCCACGTCTTCTCCACGCCATACTACGCCCAGTCTAACGGGCATGCTGAAGCTGCGGTGAAGACCATCAAGCACCTCATCGCCAAAACGACGACCAACGGCTCCGTCGACGATGAGCGGCTGCATCAGGGACTGTTGGAGCTGCGGAACACCCCTGGCGCCAGTGGCCGCTCTCCAGCACAGATCGTCTTTGGCCATCCAATCCGCTCCTGGGTTCCAGCTCATCGCAGTGCGTTCGCCCCGGAGTGGCAACTGCGCGCCGACGACTGTGATGCCAGGGCTGCGCGGGATCGTCTTCAACGCGAGCAGCACTACAACTCCTCGGCTCGCAGCCTTCTACCCCTCAAGATCGGAGCCGACGTCCGACTTCAGGATCCCATCAGCAAGCGATGGGATAAAGTTGGTGTCATCATCGGCGTGGGCTACAAGCGAGACTACCACGTCAAGCTCCCCAGCGGAAGAGTACTATGGAGGAACAGGCGTTTCCTCCGCTCTGCAGACAGGCCGTCTGCAACTGACAAGTCGTCAACCGAATCTACGGACCCTGACCCATCTGACGTTCCTGAACGTAGGGTCCGGTTCCAGCTGCCCCCTGCAAAGCTGAGGCGCAGCTCACGTCAACAACATCGTCCGGACAGGCTCGGCTACAGCGACTAGAACTTCTTGCAAGAAGTTCTTCAGGGGGAGGGAGATGTTCTGGTCTGGGCCTCGCCTGCCGGGCCGCCCCGTACCGGTTCGTACCGGCTCGATGTGACCGGGTGCCGGGTCACTCCACCCTGGTGCGATGTGGGCTTCTGTCATTGGTCGGTGGCTGGGTGGCGTGATCAGGCCACACCACCCGAGTCATGTGTCAGTGTGTGATTGGTCGGCCGATATGTAGTGAGGCGATGTGTGTGCTGGATCGGAGAGAGAGGGCAGTCTGGTTTTGGTCAGTGATAGCGCAATACACCTCCACAGCTCAGCCGGCTTGTGAACACTACAAGCGGTTATATCCGCTCAGAGCAGGTATGACTAAAAGGGGTTACCCTCCACGCCTACCCTTCGCCGACCAAGTCACGAGGGCCAAAAAAAACTCCCACGCTTGACCATATTTGAGGGAGATTATCTATATTATGACAATCTCACACCTAGAAAACATCGGTGAGAAAGTTTCACGTCGGTGGGAACGGTCAAATCGAATTCCCATAGAAAATTCGACATGACCCAGTCACCGGTAGCCGTACATACCGCCCGAGATCAAAAAGATGTCTCGCGACTGCTTTCGTGACCTAAGAATCAAAATGGCTTCACTTGGTAGTTTCGGAAGAAATGGCGTTGCCAATCGTCCCGTGATGAATATTGCAGAGGTTTTAAAGATGCACCCTAACAATTGTACTTTCGCCCCCACTTGAAACCACCAAACAATGTGCCAATATATCATGTGCAAAAAAAAGTTAAAAAATTGCTGTAATTCAAAACTGTATGAGACAACGCCATCTAGTTGTGCCAGTAGATCTAACTCCTTCAGGGCAGGTTATGTAAAGGTTCGCCATCCACGGATACGCGTTTACGATATCTCGAGTAGTTCCAACTCTTTCAGTGAGGGCTATGCCAATGACTCGACACCCGCGGGGACAATATCCGGTGCTGAGTAGCTACCTTACTGCAGACTGTGGGTACGGTGCATATTTACGAGTAATAAGGCAGGCAAGTCTGCTTACCCTCTAGCTAGAATCTGGACGTGGCGAGTTAATACACATATACCACCCGCAGAGCAACGCTTAATTCGCCAGCTTCGGGTAAAATTGTTTTCAGTGTACTGGACACTGGTAGAGGCATCTGTTGTGTCCGCCACCTATACCTGCTGACTGTTGTTGTCTTCCTTATAGTCACTTACTGATCAGGGCGTAATTTTTTATGATCAGGGTCAACTAATTCTACCATTTATGTGTCAGCATCTGGCAGTAGCATTAATGCTGTTTATCGGGACTTTTAGGCGTATCTACATTCTACAGCAGTGGTCATTTTGCGCCCAAGGCGCGCTTAGCACTAAGACGGAAGTAAATAATGTTTCAGTCGATAGGCACTGATGTCAGCTGATACAGTCATGCGATGGAGGAACGGGAGGGGACGAGGGGGCGGAATCTCGAGGAGGGAGGGAGAGAGTGGGGGAGGAGTGTAAACAAGCAGCTGAACGAGCGTCACCGAACCCTAGAGATCAAAGTCCCAGCCCCGTGCCCCGTGACAGTCAGCGACAGCCGACTCTCGGCAATGGAGCTCAGATGTCAACACTCAACCTAGTTAGCTCAACTGCTCACTGCTCATCATGTGGTAGTTAACTACAAATTTAGCTCAGCATAGCTCAACATTAGGGCACGGGAGGTGGGCGGACTGCAGCGTTTATTAGCGAGGTGTCGACTGTAGTAATGGCACTGCATAGCAAATAGCGGGAGGAAATTCCGACGCTTGTTGGGCTTTCTAGAAGGGGGAGAGAGGATGGGGGAAGGAAGGGAGGGAAGGAGGGAGGGAGGGAGAGAGGGAGGGAGACAGAGAGAGAGAGAGAGAGAGAGAGAGAGAGAGAGAGAGAGAGAGAGAGAGAGAGAGAGAGAGAGAGAGAGAGAGAGAGAGAGACAGACAGACAGACGACAGACGACAGACGACAGACGACAGACAGACAGACAGACAGACAGACAGACAGACAGACAGACAGACAGACAGACAGACAGACAGACAGACAGACAGACAGACAGACAGAGAACGAGAGGGAGTACGAGAGAGTAAATGAGAGAAATAAATGGAGAGAGTAAGAGAAAAAGAAAAGAGGAAGAGAGAAGCGTGAGAAAAGAGAAACAGAACAAAATCGGATTGGTGTTCGTGAGATTAAAGAACTGTCATCACAGTCACCACACACAGAACAATGTACATATACATAAAGTAACGATGCGTCTTTTGGAGTGCACACTTTATAGCCAAAATGTATAACGCATGAAAATGGTACCCCATTATATGCATACATACAATCTTAGACGTGTCGAGCCATCCGTGAATTTAAATTCCCCTTTCGAGTTATCAGAGACTGATGTTCCTCCCTAACAAATGAGCCAATTCCAATATGAAACTTGGAGTCGCTGCAACTGAGGAATAACCAATAGAACATAACCGCTACCTCCCATTTTCTCTCCACCCATACGCCAAGAAGTTTATCTGGTAGCCGATTTGTCTTCTGATAAGAAATGCATCTAAGGTTTCAATGTTCTTCGCATCATAACTCATACGGGACATATACTTCCAGTACCCAGTGAATTCTGTTCATATGATAAATCGTACCCTTCCTGAAGGAAGTGTGCTACCGTAAATGCGTAGTTATATCATATGGTTCAGGTGCAGAAGCCAATAACAAATGACAAATACAGATGAAGCTCTAGAAGGAGGTAAACCTTATTGTCTTTTCGCTGCATTTCGTCCCGTCTATTTCCTCGTACGCTTCTGACATCAATTCGCGGACGCCTCTCGCCCACACCGTGCGGCCCCCATCCCGTATCGCGCCCACCGATATCATATCGAGGCGGCGCAGGTAGCACCGATGGCGTCAGCCCCAGATAGCCCCTGCTATCGGCTCTGATAGCACCTGTTATCGGGTGTACCTGACACCCAGACCCGGAGGTTCAGTCGCCACGCGGTAGTAGTCATCATAGTCAGTCATAGCGGTAGTAGTGGTAGTCATAGTCAGCACATCGCCAGCCGGGCACCGACGAGCCGCGCTCGTTCGTGCCGCCCGCGTCGTCGCCCGTCGCTGCCGCCGCCGCTGCCGCTGTCCGCACGACTCCAGCCCAGGTCTGTTTACGTCTCAGTACAGCCAGTCGGCCGGCCGGCGTCAGGCGGAAAGGAGGCCTCGTCGCTCGGATCCGTTCGCCTTGATCCGTACGCGGCGGTCCGTACGCGGCGGTCCGTACGCGGCGGTCCGTACGCGGCGTGGTTAGTGGGGCGGCAGTGAGCGAGCAGCTGCAGGGCTTGCACACCGCTGTGTTGGGTGGTGGTGTGCAAAATATTGCCGACCGAACGGCCAGGTGTAACGATCCGTGACGGGTGCTGTGACGGTCTGCCACGCTGTGATTTCGCCCCGCCCTCCGGATGTGGGTGCGGGGGTGACGGGGCGTTGGCGTTCAGATGAACCGCGCCCTGGCGCTCGAGCGCACGGCAGAGAGCTCGAGCCCCTGAATACGTGCCGTTAAGGTGTGTGTCGATTGTATAGCGTGTGAGGTGTATGTGCGTGCGACGCTCAGCCATGAAGCTCCCAGTGCGTCTACTCGTGGTCGCTGCTGGCAGCTCTCTTATCGTCGCCTCTCTGGCGATCGTGGATCTCCTCTCACCACCAGAGATGGTCTTGGAGACCCGTCCACCCGCCAAGAGACTACTCATAAGGGCCAATATGTCCCAATCTGAACATCACGCGAGTGTGCTTCTTGAGGAGACAGCTCGTGAAGCTGCCGAACGGCCCCCACTGAAGGCTCCACGCAGTTCTCCAGTGCCGGACCCAGAGCTTCAGTTAGATGAAGTGAAGGCTTATTTGAGGACTCTGAAGGTGCCGAGCCGACCACGACGACGAAACAAACATTACCGGACTACACTCGGGCAGAGGCTCAAATGGAACAGAGGGTAAGTGTGCTGAAAAAACGAGTCAGTAATTGCAGGAACGGGCATCGACTGGCAGTCTGAGGCTATGGCTTGGATCGTTGTCGTTCCGAGCCTCATGTCATAATTAACGCTCATGCTTCTTCCAAAAGTCAGGTCTTTCCCCTAGTAAGTTGCCCATTCATCTTCTTTTCTGAACACATACCGGCCTGGCACCAATACTTATGGATGGATGCTGGAAAGCCCTCATATCCGGATAATCACCTGCACGTCTGCAGTGAAAATAAGCCGTTTTACACGGCTAAAATTGAATAGAAATTGATGGAAGCCAAGTTCCATCATTTTTAACATTTGTAAGCGTTGTGTGATTTGTCAGATAACTGAATGACTCCGCAGCATTGGTAAATGAGGGGTGCAATGGAGGGCAAATTCCCAATCGAGCACAGCTGAAACTATCCCAAAACGAGGAGGAACCCTCAGACGCATTCATGACCACTACCACCCTCTCTCATCTTCAAACGCTGTCCTATGCCGCATTTAAATAGGTTATGTATATTTTAGTAAGCCCATGTAACTCCAATCGCATTGAACATGGCAGGCATGGGCTGCTAACATCTGTATCCTAATCAAACATACAAATAACAACGGCCGCGATATGCCGGAACACACAACCACATCACGTGTCTCTGATCGAAACCATAGCTGGCTAGTGATTCACCACCCTCATGTTAGCTACCGTCAACGGATCACAAACTGCGTCACAGTTCATCACGGAAGCAGGGCCTCGGCTAACATGTTAACTGGTGGGCCAAATGGCCCACCAGTGACCCGAAATGGCCCACCAGCCTCAAAGATTTGGCCCACCAGTAATTTTCCGAAAAATCTAAGTTTTCACATTTCAAATTGAAATAGCAGATCTTATCGTACATTTTCAGGCTATAAAGTACCCATCGGTGAAACATATTCTTGTGAAAAACTTCAACCTATTGTTTGCAATATCCTCTTGGGGTAAAAAGTGGAAGAACAGACCAGTTCAGACGGTCGGGGATAAGCCTGCGAGCGATCTCAGACGGCTGGCCGATAGACACGATATAAGCCAGAGTCAAACTAGAGGTAGTGTCGGCGACTTCCAGCCGATTGAAGTCTGCAAGCGATATTAATACTGCCGA